TTATGTCAAATTATGTACCTGAGAATATGAGCAACTGAAGCAGGTCCGTACCAGTCCCCTGCCTGCTTTCCAGTGTGTGCGCCAATTGAGACAAGGCGATGCAGTGAAAACGGGCATCTTTCTTCATCTTCTAAATCTCCAAAAAATCGAAGAATCTAAAGGAAACGCAACAAAGAACAATTGTGTATATGGAATTCATATATTGACATTTTAGCCAACCTGCTGAGGAGGTACTTGATCTCACCCTTAAATCTCTCGACCCTTTAACTTCCAGAAGTGATCAACTTGTAATTTCTCCCTAAAATAACCATACATTCTCCAGCTTACAGGTAACAAGAACACTCACACTCATCAGATAGAGGTTGTTATTTTGATCTAATTCAAAATTCTCAAAATTAATTTACAAGGAACTGCAAAGAAGCTCTAGGAGAGAATTGACATTCAAATCTGGGGAGTTGAAGGGGTTAATCTTAAGTGAAGAATGACCAATATGTGATTTTCCCTCACAGTGTGACAGCATCACTGCTGAATCAAACATTTACAAGGTAATGCCTCAGTTAGAAAGGGACAAAAAAAGACCAGCTCATCGACTATTACTCACTGTTTTGTAAAAATGTTCTTGTTCTCTGCTGATGCATCTTCCTGTTGTCCTAAACTCTACAAAGAATCACAAGATCAAGAGCAGTTTTCAACCAAGTGTCCAACACTAAAACCTAAGTAATCACCACTGCATAATACAGGTTTCTCTGTATTGCAAAGTTTAATTCTTTTTTTATTTTTATTTTCATACCTCTCTTTAGGAAATGATAGACCAAACCAGTTGCAATCATCATTTGTCCACTTCGTAACATGCATCCCCAGCCACAATCAGTGGTTAACGTTGAGTCACCGAGTTGCGGAATTTCTCGTCGATAGGTCAGCCAGATTAATGAGTGAAAGTCTCTTTGAAATTCATCCATGCTTAAAACTTTACACTTTTCTGTTGAGTGTACTCCACTAAATTCTGTAAGAGGAGAAAACTTCCTTCAGTGTGTGACTGTGTATGCATATTGTACAACTTAAATTCCATTAGAGACCATGACATAATTTTCCTTACAATACCAAGCAGACAAGGGATGAGAATAAAGAAAAATATCAATTAGTGGATTTTAAATTGATCCAATAACAAATTCTCCAAACTGAAATAAAGAGATTTGTATAGCAAACTGAATGGGGAATTACTATCAAGATCTTGAAGGTGAAATGGTCTTAAACACTTCTGGGTTTATAGAGGCTCTGTAAGTATCAAGTGTCACCTCCACATCTAAACCATAGGCCACCTTACATTTGTGCACTTAGTTGCCAAGCCTTTGATTTGGAGTGAGGCTGAAGGTGACCTTGTTGTGATAGAGACCAGTATCTAGTTAGCATGATAACAAAGTAATTTACATCTGAAAAGCAGCAAGGTTTGTATCATAACAAGGTCACCCTTAGCCTCACTCCTATTCAAAGGATTGGCAACCAAGCACACAACTGTAAAATGGACTATTCCCCAGCTTTTGGTACAAGTCTACAGTACTGTCCATTAGGCTATCTTGTTGACAAAAATCCTAAATGATAAGCATAAAAATTACCAAGATTTCTAGAATGATAACATGTAGAATTTAAACATTTAAAAAATTCTGGGTTCAGAAAGGCTGCATAAGTATCAAGTGTCTTCTCTGAAAACTCCCCAAAAGTTCCCCAGCTTTTTTTACGAAGTCTACAGAACTATCCATTAGGCTATCTTGATGACGAAAATTCTAAATGATAAGTATAACCTTTACCATGATTTCTAGCATGATAACATCTTCCTAAAAGCCATATTGGTGAATCTTCATTAAAGTGTGCTTTGAAAGGCACAACAAATCCTGTAAAAATATTAAATAAATAATGTTTCAATTGATAATCAAAGAAATTTGCAAGATCTGCAGCACATAGTAACCATTAGACACTTTAGAGCTATTTCAAAATGGTGACAACTTAACCCATTAACACCCAGGAGAGATTAACATGTAAATTCTCTCTATATTATCCAGACATAATCCAGTAAACAGGTAATAAGAATACTCAAATTTATCAGCTGGGTTGAAGTTGATATCTTGATCTCTCTAACACCAAATTCTTGCAACTTTGTTATGAGGATATGTGTAAAAGCTAAAGGGGAGAATTAACAATCAGATCTGGGGATGAAAGACCTATTTGCAAGCACAAATTATCCCCAAGAATAATAACCAGAGAACAGATTTTATAAAAAAAATGTGAGAGTCTTTTAAATGTTTTGGAAACCTGTTAACCAAGGACTTATAACAACCGTTAAAGATCAGTGGAAATTTTCCAAAATCAAGGAGTGTACAATCAAGCAATTGTAAAAAAAACTAAATATTTTCATTTGTCAAACCAAAACACTGGTAAACCTTTGGATCTTTTCCAAAGCATTCTTCAACAAGATAGAATGGCAAGGGATCTTGAAATCTGAATGTGATTTGTGTGGAAGGCATCCCAAACAGAAAAAATTCAGCCCAAATCGTGCTTTCCCCTCCTATTTCCATCAATATTCAACGAGAAAAAAAAGACAACTGCAATTTTAGAGTGAAGCTCTAAACATATAGATGTATGCTTGGCAAATGGTATGTGTGATAGTTAAAGAGTTAATTTCAGGTCAAAATGATCTCCAAACAGTTCAATTTATTTTTCCAGCTGCATTATCACATTCCTTAAGCAAAGGACAACACAAATCAAACTAGTGTGTGATCATGTTGACTTACAACACGAACGATATGCCTTATGCGTGATGTTTTCAATTCAAGCTCGTATAAATTACTATTTTCACAGTTCTCACGGCTACGAGGGAGAAAAATAAAAACACCCATGAGAAAGATAAACAAAGGTATCGTCTACCAGGTCAATAAGTATGTTCAGAGACCTACGATGATATGATAGACGTATTATTTTAGCTGATGAGTAAATATATATTAAAATGGTATATTTGATGTCAACTTACTGACCATGTCTCATGTTGTTCCACATAGACATTAATTTTGTCTTCAGCTTCTCGCCGTCAAACAGTTCATCGTCATCACTGTCACTAGAATCTTTCATTTCCCTTGATTTCTGTCGAGAAGCACTCTGTATATTTAGTAAACCAGAGCCTAAGCTTCCGGCTGAACCCGCCATCTTGAATGTTTATGTTCAGGAACCTCCTGGAACCATATCGATTTATGCCTCTAAGCCCTCACCATATATGTAATCAGCCGCAAAGTCATTCCCAGTTCTCGCTTGAAACTGACGCTGAAGTGTCACACTCAACTTGCGAAATCGATTTAATCACAGAAAAAAAACGATGGAAGATTATAATAGGGTGTTTATATGTGGAGTCTACTGTTATTCTCCTGCCATGAGGAGATAAGAAATCGCAGCCAAACGATCGGAGGGATATTACAGTCTCTGATTTCCAAATTTCTCATCTCGTTTTCAGCTCCTTGATCCGCCTGAAGCTATACTGAGATTTATTTTTCCTTCATCAATATGGCACGAAACTTGAATTCAGGGGATCTTCGGTGTTTGACTTGAGCTTTTTTTTTTAAATTTTTTTGTTTTTTTTCGCCCCCGGAAATACCGAAAGTTTAATCACCCCTAAGCACTTGGGCCCAAAATTTCCCGCAGAAAAAAACAAATTAGCCGATCATTGTCGAGTGAATTCATACAAGCTTTCGATTTGCCATAAATTGCTGCATTTTATGTCTCAGAGAGCAGCCAGACTTAGTTTTTGGCACTTTTAAAGAAGGTGGCAGCTCCACAACAGTAAGTTGAATTATGTGTCTCTCCACATCTTTATGGGTTCTAGAATGTGATGTGATTTGTTTTCTTATTGTGTAGCCCTCATTTGGCGGTGGATTTTGGGCAAGCAAAGGCCGAGGCTTCGGTACCTGGAATAGTAATGACAATTTTGTCGATGAAGCTCCCAGACGAAAGGGATAAGAGCTGAGCCAAAACCTCCTCGACGTGGTTTTGGCCCTGCAAATGGCTTCGAAAGTGGCTGTCACAATGCTTTTGGTGGAGGTAGAGTTCTAAATTGATTCTATTGTTTTTTTACAGACAGATCAGGCCCAGTGACAAATCTTCCCCCAGATACATCTGAGAATGAGGAGGAGATGTTCCGTTCCATCGAGAGAGGCATCATCTGTGACAAGTACGATAAGATTCCAGTTGAGGTTACAGGAAAAGAGGCCATAACACCAATTTAAAGCTTCGAGGAGGCTAACCTAGGAAAATCTTTGTCAGTAAATGTCCAAAAAAAACAAAGTACACTAAGCCCACCTCTGCGCAGAAGTATATGATACCCACAATCCTTGCAGGAAGAGATGTCATGACTTGTTGTCAAACAGGATTAGGAAAGACGGTAAACATTATCCTTTAACACGCCAAGATCAGTGTGCATATCCTCCACATTGTTCTCAATACATTTCAGCTTTTTCAGTTGATTATTTTCTTTATTCTCCTGACCTTAATGTAATTCAGGGGCCAGGGTCAAGTGGTGAAACAGACTGAGTGCATGTGTTTGGAAAGTACATAATGTGACCTTCCTCGAAGAAAAATTCCTTAAACACGAAGGCAAGAAATCTTTATTGGTGTCAAATTTGGGTGATGATGAACAATAATTGCACTGTCAGCTTTGGGTGCTTAAAAATAGCTGATACATCTTGCAAAACTTGGCTTAGAAATTCTTAGGTTGCTAATTCTAAACTTTTGTTGTGGCAATTTATATTTTAATTAATCATCCTATGGATATGACTTTTTGTGTATGTTGCTGACTAATTTCCATTGTAATTCGTAGAAATCTATTATTATAATATGGATGGAGAGAAATTAAAAAAAGTCAAAATATGGCAAAGCTGTTGTTAGGCTTCTGTTCTACTACCAGTCAGCTGCTGTTGCTGTCGTCCTGTTAATTGAATGATACGAGAGTAAAACTTTAGCACTTTTGTTCAATTCCAGGCTGCTTTTCTCCTACCTGCCATGTCTGAGATACTGAACAATTCACTGACCAGCAGTGAGCTGTCAGACATTCAAACTCCACAAGGTCTTTGTATTTCTCAGAAAGTTTTCATTGGAAACTATGCTAAAGCCAGTGTGTATTTATGGAGGGGTCAGTGTATCACATCATTTGTGACAGGTTCAATGTGGTTGTAACTTTCTTGTTGCTACACCCAGGCGGCTCAAGTATTTCA